CCTTCTCACTCATGTGAGCCAGTCTTCTGTGCCATAAGTCTGGTGACTCCTTGTCTTTTGCTGCATTAAGACTTCCCAGATAGATCTTCGTTTGAGTCTTGTACAGTGTTGAAGATATCTCTCCTCTGGTGATTGTCAAAGCTCCTCCTGTTAACTTCCAATGACCATTTTTGAATGCACTTGTATAGCCCTGTCGGTCCAGGGCGCTTCTGGAGATAAAATTGAGGCACAAATCTGGAACATGCCTCACATCTTTGAGAACCAGGTTGTGCCCGACATTAGTCTGAATGCTAATGTCTCCAATATCCACAATCTTCGAATAGCTAGAATTTCCCATTCGAACAGTGCCAAAATCTCCAGTGTTGTATGAGCTAAAGAGTTCCCTGTGGGAAGTGACGTGATAGGATGCAGCTGTGTCTATCACCCATTCTGTGTACCTGTGGTCAGCCACGTGAAGGCAATTCTCCTCTTCACCAACTGCAAGAAGTATTTCATCAGTTGTTATAGCTGTCATGTTCTCATCTCCCTTTGACTTACTGCTTTGGCCTTTATCTTTTCGGCTTGGGCAGTTTCTCTTTATGTGACCCTCATGGCCACAGTAAAAACAAGTAAAGTTGGAGTTTCCTTGAGCTTTGTTATCTCTGGTTTTACTCATGTTGTTCTAGCTGCCTCTATTCTTGCTTCTTCTTTTATCTCTTCATTTACCTCTGTCTTTGCCTATATCTTCTGTGACAAGAATATTGGGACTGATTACCTCTCATGCCTTTCCTTCTTGTCTTTTCATTGTACATGGCGTCTGTGATCATGCTCATGGTCAGCTTCCCTTTTGGTGTAAAGTTACTGAGAGAAACCACCAACATCTCACAGCTGTTCAAAAAAGAACTGAGCAGTAGTACGGCTTGCATTTCATCGTCCAAGGGCATCTTGACGGTTGTAAGCTGATTCACCAGATTTTTGAATTCACTGGTGTGTTCGGCGACAGACACACCATTCTTCAACTTCAGATTTACAAGCCTTTTCATCACCAAGGCTTTGTTCCGGGCGGTCTTTAACTGGTACATGTCTTCTAACATTTTCCAAAGATCATAGGCATCTGTCTCTTGGGCGACATGGTGGAACACACTATGGTCTATCCATTGTCTAATACAATCGACAGTCTTTCGGTTCATCTTTATCTAGTTTTCATCATTCTCTGCTTTCGATTTAACCCCTTTTAGAAAAATAGGGTCAAACAGGTCTTTATAATATAGGATGTCTTCCATCCGCGATTTCTAGATTGCATAATTGGAAGGATTCAACTTGATCATGGATCCTGAAGTTGGTGTGGATTCCTCCAGCGTCTTCTTTCTTTTTATAGAAAACTCCAAATTAAAAATCTGACCTTACGAATGTCTCCAGAATACTCCAAATAGTTAAAAACCACTATTGGATTGTCAAAATCAGACTTCAAATGGCTCAAATCTAGCCAAAATAAGTTCGATGGTTCAGATCTGTAGATGTACCTTAGCCGCATAGCACTGGATAGTCCCTTTGATTTCGGGTCGGGTCAGTCCGACAGGTTGACTGGCCAACTAGTGGATGATGTGGTAGACACATGGCACTACTTGGCTAACGCGACAGTGACGTGGCAGTGACGTGTCAATGATGTGGCGCTGACGTGGTAATGTCGTGGCTGACACGTGGCGCTGATGTGGTACTGGCGTGGCACTAGCCACTCACCTTCTTCCTTTCGCCGCGCGTCAGGAGCGTGTCTACAACTGACGTCACGCAACAACACGATCAACGGCACTTGAAGCGTGTGTATGTGAGAGTGGGCCTCACGGGTTTTTTTCAGATGGTGCGTGAAGGTTCGTGGAGCCTCCTCTTGGGCTCTGCTTTGTAGTTCTGGACTCCTCTCGTCGAGAGCTTCCTCCTGGTATACACAAAAGTGAATTTCGAGCAACTTGATTTCTGGCAAATTCAGAAATCGCACTCTGTTTTTCTGAAAAACAACCAACTTGGCTCTAATACCACTTGTTAGGATTAAGACACACCAGAAATCAATCACACACACACAGAAATGAGACACAAGAGATTTACGTGGTTCTGCAATTGCCTACGTCCATGGAGAGAGACATTCACTATAGAATTATCCTGGACAGAGATTACAGACCTCACACCTCACAACTCTCTATAATACTATCTCACTCACAGATTACACTCTGTGCGTTTTTTTCTCTGTGTTTTTTTTTTTTTTTTTGCACCACACTCACCTCTCCTCCATTTTCCTTGGTTGTTATGTATTAATACACCAAGATAGAGGAAGCTAGAGAGCTTGGCTGGCACAGCATATGGCCAACTGTTCACTCACCTTTCAGTGGCTGTCCAGGGTTGCGCTGGCATAGCACATGGCCAGCTTGACTTCACATGGGGGATCCACTTGGGCTGGAGCTAACAGTATAGTCTTCATTTCCATACAAATCAAGTAATTACGTCGATGTTGTAAAAGGTCAAATATATTATAATGTGCAATCAATGGTTTTAACTAGTTAATCTCATTTAGAAAACCTATTAGGGCTCGTTTGTTTTCCGAGTTGAGGCTTGGGATTAGGATTAGTAGTGAGGTTAGATTCACAATATCACGTTTGTTTGCAAAGTAGCCACTGGACTGATAATCCGTTCGGACTATGAATCCCCTCCAACGAGGGGATTAGCAAAGGTGCAGAGGACTTGGAAGTAGAATTTAAGCCGTTGGTATTAGAGTGTGAATGATGATTTTGCCCACAAAAATGTTCTTTCCATCTCTAGAAAATATTAACAAACCCAGAAATTTACAGAAAATTGGCTCAAATAAGGCAACATTGTTGTTTTGATCCACAAACATCCACAAACCCAAAAATTTGCAAGAAAAAAAAAATCATACCCGAATGAAGCCATCATTATTTCTTCCTTCGATCTTAAGAAAATATCAAAAAACCCAGAAATTTACAGAAAATTGGCTCAAATGAGACAACATTGTCATTTTCATCCACAAACCCAGAAATTTGCAAGAAAAAAAAAATCATACCCGAATGAAGCAGCATCATTGTTCTCATTAAGGTTGATGATCCAGATCTTGTTCTTCGTCATTGTCGGCCTTAGATGGATGAAGTAAAAGCGTCATCATCGGCCTTACATGGATGAAGTCACAGAGTGAAAGGCAATATCTTTTTCTTAATGTTTTGAACACTTTTTCAAAACCATAGGCTGGTTTTGGAGAAACCATTGGTTGGTTTCTTTAATAATAATAATAATAATAATAAGATTAATAGTTAAATTTTTTACTATTTTTAATTATATAATTTTAATTTTAATTTTTGAATAGTTTAATTAGGTAATGTATTTATTAATTGGTATAAGCTTAAATTTAATATTAACACAACAAGGGTATTTGTGTAATTTTATATGGTTAATCCCATTCATATCTCTCAAAACAAACATGAACTATTACTAGTCCACTGGTTATCAAACAAACACATTTTTCTTAATCCCCTCACTAGCAGTCCCCTCACTAACAGTCTCCTCACTATTAATTTCCTCACTATCAATCCCTTCTATTTTATCTCTGAAAACAAATGGGCCCTTAGAATGGTAGAATGAAATGAAGCAAATTTCTTGATCTTGCACGTGAATTATCATCATTTTTTCACCCGAGTTGGATATGGCAGTTAACTTTTTGAATTTGTCACCACCTTTCCAAGAGTGAAAGAAGAAGTACATAATTAATACTAATATTGTTTTTTAATTATTAGAATATATTTAAGTACAGATTTGAAATCCCTTCAAGAAGGCATCAACTTTGTAGAAATCAATTTCGTTTTAGACACGAATTTGTATGATTTTGAACGTACAACAAGGGGGAAAAAGGTTAATTACACCAAAATCTCTCAATTAATAGTAAATATCACTTTATTTCATTTATTTACAAATATGTTCATATTGATATCCTTAACTATAAAAATCATATGCATACACCCTTTTTGAAAGTTATTTTGAGGGGGTAAAAGTGAAAAAATTTTATAATTGAAGGAGATAAAATGTATGTGTTCATAGATGACGGGCTACATTGATATTTACAAATAGAGAGGCTACATCAACCATAAGGACAATAATTTACTATCACGTGTTAATTTTTTTTATTTTTTTTATATAATCAGATACATAACATTTTATTATTTATTTTTATTATTTTCTTAATAACTATTTTCAAATAAGGAACCAATTATGATTATCTACATATGTACACTGCAGAAAAAATTGCCTTTACCGGCGTTTCAAATACGCCGCTATAAGTGGTAAAATGCCGCCAAAGGCTATGCCAACGTTTTTACATTATGTCGCTGATAGGGCCGTCGCTATAGGTATAAATCGTTTTATAAACGTCACTGATACTTATAGTGACGTTTTCATAAACGCCGGTATACCATTTAATTTGCTTAAATAATTCAGCCAAATATAATTGATGACGTCACAATATATAGTGGCGTTTTCAACAAAAACGCCATCTTTTTTTCCTTTATTTTTTAATTTAATTAATATAAAATATTCTATGAGGTGGTTATTTACATTCCATTCACATTCCAATTTGCACAAAACACATCGTACCAGAAAATAAGAATAAAAGTTGATAAAACCATCAAATTCAATATTTTATAGAACAATTCGACTGTACATGTTCATAAAAAGCATATAAAGCATATTTAAGTTATAAAATTCATCGCAATCTTTAAAAAACAAAAAAAAAAATCTGAAATTCACCAATCAGCACAGATATGCTATGAGGTGGTTATTTACATTCCATTCACATTCCAATTTGTACAAAACACATCATACCAGAAAATAAGAATAAAAGTTGATAAAACCATCAAATTCAATATTTTACAGAACAATTCGACTGTACATGTTCATAAAAAGCATATAAAGCATATTTAAGTTATAAAATTCATCGCAATCTTTAAAAAACAAAAACAAAAAATCTGAAATTCACCAATCAGCACAGCTAGATATTTAAATGCTCTTACCAAAAATTAAAAAAATAAGAAATTTATGTTTCTTTGAATAATTCTGACCAAGTTGTACACACTAATCCTGAAGGAAAACTTGTTTCCATCAGTGAAGGACTTACTAACTTTTGTAGAGCCAGTGTTGTTCAGAGGCTTTCTGGTTATATCCCCCACTTTCTGTTTCTTTGAATAATTGGATCCAGTCAATTTTCTCGCACTGTTCTTTGAAGAATCATCCACTGTGGTAATTGACGACAAATCCATCCCTTTCTATACCTTTCCAAGAGTTCTCTTTCTGGAAGCATCTGTTGAGGCCAGAGTTCTCTCCTTTTGCAGAACTTTCCTTTTGCTCAAGAGTAGCTCTAATGCTTGTCTTTCCTTATTTTGTCCATCATCCGGGAACTTTATGTGGTTTCTAATTGGAGTTCTAATTTCATCATCAATCTCATGTTCTCTAGTAAAAGGAAAATTTTAAGTAATTAATTTGCAAGCCACTGCAGAAAAAAAAAAAAAAAAAAGGAGAGGAGCAAAAGAATAAGGGCAACTTACAAGTAATAAATCAAAATACGGTTTGGAATAAGACATTCCCAAGCCCTTTGCAAGATGCCCTCATCCTCCAGATCTTCAAAAGTAATATTCCTGATCAAAGTAAACCAAGCATCAACCATTGAAAACTAGTAGTTAAATTAGACCATACGTTTTCATGATAGTATTCAGAAACAGGTGGAACATTGTGGAAACATTTAAATGGTTACCCGGCAAGCATTTTCGGTGGTACGACTTGGGACAACGTCTGCAAACTGCAAATTGCAAATCAGGATCCAACTTATTTTTATGGTTTTCATGATAGCATTCAAAAACAGGTGGAACATTGTGGAAACATTTAAATGGTTACCCGGCAAGCATTTTCTGTGGTACGACTTGGGACAACGTCTACAAACTGCCAATTGCAAATCAGGATCCAACTTATTTTCACCCAGTTTGCAGACAATGCATTTATGAATGGGACATGTGAAAAATTCCCCAGCAGCTATCTTCTTCTAAAGCTCTTCTGCCTCAGCTGCACTCTTACGGTGGAGCAGTTTTGCAACACAATGTGGATGGTAAAAGAGACCACATGTTGCAGAAACACAGGGAAAGATCCACAAGGCATTTAGAAGGTAAAATTTTGGGCAAATCAGATGCAAATCCAATCACTGCTCACAATGAGGTCAAGGAAGTCAAGCAACATAACTCATTATAGAAATGTGAATTGGCATGCTAATATATTCACCTCAATTATGGAATTCTAATCAATTATTTGAAAACTAGAAGGAATTAATAATCTAGAAATACATATTAAAATCAAATCAGGAAAATAGAAGTGAATAGACTCATAAATAAACTCAAATTTCTAATCTGTGTCTTTGGGAAAAGAAAAACAAAAATACAACCCAACAACCAGACTTCTAGAACAAATAGAAAAAAATAAAAAAAATTGATCACCATCAAAATCTCTTTACAAAGCAAATAAAATAAGCAAAATAGCATGAAGAATAAGGAACATAAAACCAAAGAGTGATCCAAAATACAAAGGGCAAGACCAAACTATCCCAAGAAGCATCTAGACACCCTAATGGAACTCAAGCTAGCAGATCAAAGGAGCCGAGCATACAGACAGCATTATGAAGACTAAGATATAAGTTTCATGGAAAATAAAAACCATAAAAGAGGAGAAGGATGGGAGGGGAGGGAGGGGAGGAGAATTATGCAACACAAAATCATCCAATATGACTTCACACTAAGCATCTCCAGGGATTGATTGACTCATTAATAATTTAAAATAATTATTCTATCTCATTTCAAAATATTTGTTGAAATTTAACCAAGAAGATTATTTTAAATGCTGCTCTAGAAACACTAAGTGGCTAAATTTTGCTCTTGATGGAATACCTTCAATTTTTATAATGATAATAGCTAAACTTAACCAAAAAGAATTCTATGAAGATCCAATGGGGAAAATGTATAGTCAACATTAAAATATTAGTTCAATTTTCCAGAAGAACTCCTACCTCTGCACCAAACAATTTATCAGAAGAACCTAATTCCCCACAAGAGAAATACTGGTGCTGCTTCTTTTGATAGTTCTCATATAAAAAATTTTGTATTGCTTGTAAAATACATACATCACATGTACTTCAGAACGTGCCAACAATCTATCAAATAGCATTAACAACCAAAACAATGCAAGCTAAAAGAGAATATAAAGTAGAAACCAAAGGATAGTGTACATCTACTAGTTCATTAGAAAGGCAGAGAGATTCACATATGGATTCAGAACCAGCTTCAACAGTGGCATGAAACGACCTCATGCACATTCCTTCACAACTGCATGGAATCAAAATAATACAGTTACTTGGCTCAAATGATGAATGGATGGGGTGGACAGGATGGGGTAAGTCTTAGTTTCAAATCTCCTAGCACAAAGGAAAAGGAAATCGATAAATATATATTAAACTCCACAAAAGAACTACCACGTATGCAAGAGAATCATCCAACAACAAAAGATATAGATGAAACTTGCCGATTGAACTAGCTATAAATTCTGTTAAAAGCATCAAAAGAAAAGTTTATCTATTTAGTTTTTTTTTTTGATCGATATCTACTTAGTTGAACAACTATACAATAAGCTCAAAAAAATTGGACATTTTAACCTGTCCGTTGGGTATTATACCCCTTTAAAAGATCTCTTATTTCTCTTATTTGAAGGACTCAAAATCAAGCAAAATAGACCACTCTCAACAGTTACAGTTCCTCACTCCTTCAACCATCCCATGGCAGAATTCATCATTTCTAGTTGGAAGTTGAAACTATTGAATGGAGTAAATTTCCACAGACTTTAGTTTCTTTTCTAATTTAACATTTTCAGCCCAAAAAAAAAAATGAAAACATTTGAACATGAGTTTGGAAAAGAAATGCTAACATCAGAATCCGCATGTGAAATTATCCACAGTAGCTCTATTGAGGAAATTAATCTCCAAACATAACTAGTAAGAAAAAGAGGGGGAAAAAAAAGTAAAAATCCAAACAAATTCTTAGCATAAAGTATAAATTTGTGTATTTGATGAGTCTAATAAAAGTAACTAGAATTGAAGAGTTAGGAAAAATCAAAGGTTCTACAAAGACCAAAATAATAAATAGAGCACCAAATCTGGACTTCTAACCTTGTATGTCATCCATAATCACCAAGAAGAAGAAAGCACAGTGCAAATTCATATCACTTACCTTTCACATGTCTTGGTCCATTATGCTTCTTGTGGGGTAGCAGCTTTTTAACATTGTAATGCCAGTGATGATAGTCAAGGGCATGAAGGGCACCCCACACACAGCCTGGCTGATTATCCCCAATTTGCTCATCAATATCTTTGGTCCACTAGTGTTTTCCCATTTACAACACTACAAGCAAAATCCTTGAAAACCCACTTACTAAAGGAATTCAGTGACTATCTTCTTGAATCTGATAGACATAATTAAGAAAATTCCATGTAAATAAATATGTTGATTGCCTAGCATATGAAATTTAGAAAATAAATTCCAAATTACTAGCAGCTCAAATCACATAAAGCTTGTCAAAAATCTTAAACAGAACAAAAATCAAACACCATGTGAGCAAGGCTTTGACACAAGCTTTTCACGTACCTTGTACAAAATCCAAGTAGCAACATCACTTATTACAAAATATCCATGTCTAAAAATGGCAAATGTTTATTTAATTTTTCATTTTTCAATTATTTTATCATTGTTAGAAATTGCCTGTAAATTTCTACAATTACAAAAAATTCTGATAATCAAGCATGAAAAACAGACATAAAGAGTTCAAACACACTCTAAAAGTTGATGATCACCTAGAAAAGATCCAATTAGCATGTTCAATAACCCTTAATCAAACTAAGGAGTCTAAAAGAGAAAACAAGAACTATGCAAACTATACAAAAAAAGAAATGTACAATTGATGGTACCATGAATAAAGTTGAACAAAAAATAGTTAAAACATTTCTTAAAAAACAAAAACAAATACAAAAACAGAGACTTAGTCATACCCTTGAGAGGCGAGAAGAACAAGAACAAGAATATCCAAGGTCATATCTTCCATTTTCATATATAAGAGGAAGAAGCAAACTCCAAAATTTCTCAGTCGCACTTTACCAGTCAATTACGCACAAAAACCAACACTCATAGAACTTGTACTGTACAAAACCACAACCATTCAGAAAGATGAAGTCAATGTTGATTAATGTAATGGACCAACAAACATTTTTGTGAACTTTCACCATAAGAAAAAACTTACAGATCACCATAAGAAAAAGCTTACAGATCATTAGAAAAAACACACAGAACCTGTACTGTACAAAACCACAACCATTCAGAAAGAAATCAATGTTGATTAATGTGATAGACCAACAAAGATCACCACGAACAAGTCAGAAATAGAGTCGATTTGAGGATGTTAATATGCTTTGAGATCGTAGATCAATCGATCGATCGATAATCGATCTATGTTCTCTTTAAAATAAATTAGTGTATATATATCAAACAAATCTGAGATTGTAGATACAGATCTGAGATCGTAGATAAAGATCTGAGTTGCGTACATAAACAAAATCAAAAAATTAGAAAATGAGACTCACAAAATTAATCTTCAAATCGGACTGATCGAGAGCTTTGAGCCAAGATGGAGAGAGCCGGATAGAGATTACGATCGTGAATCGAAGCCTACGATGCTCAATGTAGTGAACTTTCACCATACGAAAGAGGAGTGATGAAGAAAACCCTAGATCTATCTCGGGACTGAGAGAAACGCGTGGGCTAAAAAAGGAGAAATATGTGAATACACCTAGCACGCGTGCTTTTTTAAATGAGTTGCTTACAAAATATTTTGAAAATCGTTTTGAAACAACGTTTTTTAAAAAAAGGCCATAACAAAAACGTTGTTATAAGCCAATTTTCTTGTAGTGGTAGTGGGACAAAACGATGACATAAAGTATTTCTCCGTATATTATTATGATTTTACATGGATTAAAATTAGGTTTGGTTATGCAAATATAGGAGTCTGTTTAGTTTGATTTTTGAATTTTTTTTTGTAGTGAAATTTTGCTTTTATTTATATTTTAGTCATTTTTTTTTTAATTTTTTGAATGTACCTAAAAAATAAATTATTTATGTAGAAATTTATTAAAAAAAATACATGGAAATGTGCCATTTTTATATTTTTATATATTCGCCATGAATTTCTTTTAAACTTTTTCACAAATATTTTAATTTTTAATTACATAAGTGCGTGTTTTATTTAAAATATAAAAAGTTCATTAAAAACAAAAAATTACCCAAACAAGGTGCAAGCCTTTTCGGCACTTTGTCCTTGCGAGTCATTCAGATTGGGATTAGATGCACGCTTGCTTTGAGGTTTGATACACTTGGATTGGAAGCAGATACAATGGTTACAGGATGTCATCTAATTGACACCATATTATTATTTTATTTGCCTAACAAAGGTGAAATTATCTCCTTCCACAAAAATAGAACTAAACACAAAATGTACAAATGTGAGGTAAATATTCATAAATATAGATGTAAATATATTAACAATTACAGATATAAATATTTTTTTATCTCACATATGTATATTCTGTATACGATTCTTTCGATGCACCTAATATGGTTGAGAAAGATATTAAAACCTCAATTTTATAAAATAATAATAAAATTAAACTAATGTTATATGCACCAATTTGTACACTAATTAATGTACCAATTGATAATATGACATAATTTAAGATATTTTTGATATTTATAATTTGTATAATGAGTGAGGTCAATAATAATGTCATAACTAGTATTGATATATACACTAATTAATGTATATAACACCACTCATAAAATTTATTAAAAGTGTGTAAGGCTCAGTAGCATGAGACGCAACAATGGAAGAGACATAGTGGTAGAAAAGAAAATGAGTGAGAGTACTAATTAATGTCACCACTAATAATGTGACAGTAGATTCCACCTACTACTACAGTGTTGTTAAGCCTGTTTTTTTTAAAAAAATAAATATCACATTATTAATAATTGCTTTAAAATATCATTTTTAATGATCTCTACCATTGTCCTGATAGAAAATACACAACCTTTCTTTTTAGGTTTTCGGTAATGCTAAAGGCCCACCGAGATGACCAGATAAATGACCAAACACTTAGCTGTGGCACCTAAGGTTAGTGGGACCCACCACTAAACAACTCTCAACTAATTTTGTTATCATGTGGTAGAAAGATAAGAAGCATAAAAAAAAATAAAAATAGAGGCGCCAAAACCCCTCAACTTCTTTCAGTTCATGAAAGCAAAGCAATCATCACTGAAGAAAAGAAAAAATCACCACCGAAGAAAGTGGAGTGTGTGAAAAGAAGAGGATTGATCAAGCAAGTTTTTAATTTGTGACATCTAATTCTTTGTATTGTTTAACTTGTTAAAATTATAAATTTTTTATTTATTTTTGAATTTTTGGAAAGTTTTTTTTTTCTTTAATTTTTGCAAGGAATTATATTTTTTTAGGTTTATTATTTTTTTGAGTGAATAATGAATTTTTTTTATTTATTGAGAAATTCATACTCTAACATTGCGTTTGGTTCATAGATTTAAGTCAAATTTGAAGAAAAAAAATGTATCCCACCTTTTTATTTTTCATTTTCAAATCCCTGATGATCTGGTCGGTTCATAAATTTGGATAAACATTTTAGAAAAGAAAATGAAAAGGTGGGTAAAACATAAATGAAATGTATTTATATTTCATCTATTTATTTTATTTTATTTTTTAAATTTTTACTCAAATCCATAAACTAAACAAGTCTAAATATTTGTTAAAAGACTTGAAAGAAAAGAAAAAGTGGAAATAGTGAATTAGATTGTTGTGTTGTGCTCTCTTTTTCAATCTTAATAAAAGTTGTGCTCTGCCTCAATTTTTTTTTTTTTTTTTTTTTTTGAATATGTGATGCTCTACCTCAATGTCAATTGATGGAATTGGGATATAATTCTTTTTGTACTCTTCTGCTTTACATAAATAAAATCTTTATTTTAACTTTAATATTTGTCAAAAGTCTTGACAGATTATTTTTTGGTTTGAGAGATTTGTACTGAATAATAATGCACTATTTCTTTTCAATTTTGGTGGGTTAAATGTTTTCCAAATTTTAGAATGATGTTTATAATTCTTTGGATGTAATGGAGAGGATATTGAGAATGAAATGGAGAAAGCAAGTGCAGAAGTGATTGAAGATAATATTGATAATCAAACAGATGAAATAAGAAATATAGAAGAACATTTAAAGGATCCTAAGCCAGGGATGGTATTTGACTCCATAGATGAGGTTATGAAATTTTACACAAGATATGCAAAAGAAAAAGGTTTTGTCGTGTGCAAAAGAACTTCTAGTAGAGGAAATGATGGGGAGATGAGATATGCGACAATTACTTGTAATCGTGGTGGAAAGCAAAAGACCCGATCAAGCAACCTTGTTAAGTTGCAACCACAATTGTAGACAAATTGCAATGCAAGGGTCACCACAAATCTATGCACTAGTGGAAAGTGGAGGTTGAACTTCGTTAAGCTTGACCATAACCATGGACTAACTCCAGGGAAAACTCGATTCTTCAAATGCAATCGGATACTTCAACCACATGTCAAACAAAGGCTTGAATTGAATGATATAACTGGCATCAAAATGAATCAAAATTTTAATACATTTGTAGTTGAGGGAGGTGGACATGAGAAGCTAACATTTTTTGGAGAAGGACGCGAGAAACTATCTTAATGGAATAAGGTGTTTACAACTCAAGGGAGGAGATGCTGTTGCAATGCAAAATTACTTTCTAAAAATGCAATCCGACAATTCTAACTTCTTTTCCATGATTGATTTGAATGAAGAAGGCTGATTGAGGAATGTATTTTGGGCAGACACAAGGGGTAGAGCGGCTTGGCGTGAGTTTGGTGATATAGTAACATTTGATATGACATATTTGGTTAATAAATATGACATACCATTTGCTCCTTTTGTTGGAGTGAACCACCATGGACAATCGATATTGCTAGGATGTGGGTTAATCTCAAGTGAAGATACAGAGTCATTTACATGGCTATTTCAATCTTGGCTCACATGCATGTTTGAAAGCCCTATGAGTGCAATAATCACAGATCAAGACAGAGCTACGAAAAAGGCTATTGCGAAGGTTTTTCCTAATGCACGACACAGGTGGTGCTTGTGGCACATCATGAAAAAGGTGCCCGAAAAATTGAGAAAGTACAAAGAATATGAACCAATCAAATTTGAAATGGAAAATGTTGTTTATGATTCATTGACCAAAGACGAATTTGAAAAAAGATGGGATAGGTTCATTGAGATGTTTGAACTTCAAAGTAATGAGTGGTTACTTGGGTTGTATGAAGAGAGACATCGTTGGGTGCCAGCTTTTGTCAAAGATATATTTTGGGCAGGAATGTCAATAACTCAACATAGTAAAAGCATGCATGCCTTTTTTGATGGCTATATCAATTCAAAAACCACTTTGAAACAGTTTGTTGAACAGTATGAGAATGCATTGGCAAAAAGGGTGGAAAATGAAAATGATGAGGAATTCAATTCTTTTAGTTCATGCATCCTATGTATAAGTCATTATGAGATAGAGAAGCAATTTCAAAGTGCTTATACAAGAGCAAAATTCAAAGAGTCCCAGCGAGAGATATTAGGAAAGATTTATTGTGATTTGACTACATGCAAAGAAGGTGGTGGCATTTCAGAATATACAATTGATGGATATGTCAAAGTTGGAGAAAGCCATCAACGTGCAACTTTCATTGTTGTTTTTAAGGATGGTACAAAAGAAGTTAATTGCAATTGTCGATTATTTGAATTTAGGGGAATATTGTGCAAGCATCAAATCACAGTCTACGAGAGCAAAATTCAAAGAGTCCCAGCGAGAGATATTAGGAAAGATTTATTGTGATTTGACTACATGCAAAGAAGGTGGTGGCATTTCAGAATATACAATTGATGGATATGTCAAAGTTGGAGAAAGCCATCAACGTGCAACTTTCATTGTTGTGTTTAAGGATGATACAAAAGAAGTTAATTGCAATTGTCGATTATTTGAATTTAGGGGAATATTGTGCAAGCATCAAATCATAGTCTTCATGCATAGAAAGATTGACCAAGTACCGGATAAGTACATCTTGAGGAGATGGGATAAAAATGTTAAAAGGAGCCAGATGAAAGTTCGGATTAGTTAGGCCAATTGTTTTAGCAAACCTGAAGCACATCGATTTAATAAAATTTGCAATGCCTTTTATGAGTTTGTCGATTTAGGAGCTGAAACTGACGATAAGTGTGACAAGATAATTGAACGGATACAAGAATTGAAATGGGAGTTCACAAAAGTTGGAGATTTTTGTGCTAGTAATAAGCCAAGATCTACAAGTATTCATAATGGTTTTCCCTCATGTGGTGATGGTATAATAATTCCAAAAGAGAGTACAATCATTCTTGATCCATTGGCTCTTCGTCAAAAGGGGTGACCTCCATTGAAAAGAAAGCAATCCATCGTTGAAAAAGCTATTAAGAAAAAGAAGGAAAGAAATAAGAAGCAAAAGACCACCACTTGTAATGAGGGCAATGTAGTGAAGGTAATTAATATCATACATTTTTTACTTCTTTTATTGATTATTTTTTTTTGTTACTAACTTTTTATTTTTAATACTTAAATAGGACTTTGAAGATACTGAAAATGTTCATGTTACAACCTCTACTACGGGTTTTGGTGTGACTAGAACATGAGGGTTTGACCTTAAATGTAAGACATTTATTTATTTTAAATACAATGATGTCAATAGGATTAAAGTATAATGGATGCAATATTTTTAACAATGTAGGAGACTGAAATGCAACGATCACAATATATTGGTGGAGAGAGTTTTGCCTTTAATAGGGGATCATTAATGTGGCCGAACATGTCTACCCATCCAAATTTTATTGGGATACATCCATATTATGGTCATCCAAATATGCTATTATACATTTCAATCAAGTACAGGAGGACAAGGCCTTTGCACGAACTCGATTTTCTTCAATGGTAGTGAATCCCAGGTACATAACATGCTCTCCATTTTATCTTATTTATTTTTATATAGATTATTAGGTACAATTTCTTAAAATATACATCTTATAATTTCTATTATTTTTTTGTAGAGTGATCTTCATCCATCTTGGAGAGTATGTTATGATTTAGCTCCTACTTCCATGCCTTCACCAGAAAAAGAGAAAGTTGAAGGGGGACCAAAGATTTGAAGTCAAAATTGAATGATCAAGAAGGACCAAAGATTTGAAGCATGTTATGATTTTGTATTGCTGCTTCTTTTTGTTGCTACAATTTTTTTGAATGGGCATGTTATGTGATGAATGTACATGGTGGAAATATTTTTCCAGTTTTTGTTTGTAATTTGACTCTTGGAACAATCACATTTAGAATCTTGAATGAAACTTCAGAATTTGACAAATTGTAATAGTCTTAATTCATAATTTGAAATAAATTTTTGATCATTTGATCATCATTAATTTGGTGAGTGTTACTGCAGAAATTTCTTTAAGTTCTAGGATTGTTTAACCATAAATGTTGAACTTTTTTCAATGTTAAAATATAAATTTTTACAATTTTTCTGCAATGCTAAACTTTTCAATCAACCACAAATAATAAACCAAGTAGCAACACAGACAAATTAACCACAAAAATAACACCAAAATTACAAAACTTCATTACAAAAAGATATAAAATCATTTGATCTTGTTTTATATTCGTAAGTTTTCATTACAAAAAGATATAAAATCATTTGATCTTGTTTTATATTCGTAAGTTCATAGACACTACTGTTGATTACATACATTTGTGTACATTTTAAAGATTAAAAAATAAAAAAATAAAAAAATTGTATACACTTTCATATAATGCCATGCAATAATCAAAAAAAATAATATTTGGTTCATATTGAAGGTTTTGAACCATCATTCTTACTTCATTCATCATCTTTAGCATCTACTAGACCAACACATTTATAAGAAACACCCAAATTAGAATGTCAAAAAATTTACATCTTGCACCAGCACATGTCAAGTACAATCTATTAAGACTTTCTGCAAAATCCAATATTTGAACTAGTTTTGGTCATCTCTTTGGGGCTATAGCATTACTGTTGTGTTTTATGTGTTGTTTCTTTTACTCCTTGAAATTACCACGACTAAACTAGCATTTACTATGCTTAATTCCTGTTTATTTATTTTCAAACTTAAAAAATAAAATTAATATATATTCATCTTGTTTAGGGGTAGAATTATCAATGGAGCACAGCGGACCTACTTGATTGACGTGGGCGAAGCAATGAGTGGTGATTATTAAATATTTGCAGAATCATTACATCACATTGTTTACTTGATGTTTAAAGTTACTGTTGTAGCGTTAAATTTTATAAATAAAATAAGGTAACTCACTTAATAAATATCATTACAAAAAATTAACTTTTTAGAGACAAATTTGTTTCGTTCCTAAGAGTGTAATATTTGCTAGGAAAAATTTTAGTCAACTAATTTTCTCCGTCGCAAAGTTTGTCCCAAACGACCCATCCAGAAAAGTCAAAAAATGACTTTTAAAAACAAAATTTTACATTTATCACTATAAATAAACTTTTAAAGACAAATATGTGTTTGTAAAAAATTTTGATTTTGAGACAATCAAAATTTGTCTCTAAAAGTTTAATTCCAGGAGCAAAAGTAGTTAGGGAGACAAAAAAAATTAATTTTTGAGACAATAAGAATTGATCCCTAAAAGTTTTAGTTTTTGAGACAAATGAAAGTAGTCTCTAAAAGTTTTAGTTCTTGGGACAAATAAAAGTTGTGATTAATGGTAATAATTTTTTTGAAACAACTAAAATTGGTCTATAAAAGTTTGATGATTATTTTTTTGTTTTTGGTTTTTTGATTTTGTAACAGTTACTTTAAAAATACTAGTTTGAACATCAGCTTATATTCCTTTCTTGGTTTCTCAACAACCAAACAGAAAATATCAAGCATATCACCAGACCATCTGTTCATCTCCAAATTAAAATTCAACTACACCAAAAAAAAAAAGAGAAAGAAATGATCATCACATTCAAAGAGGCTTAATCAAAAGATATTTCAGTAACAAACAAATACCATGCTCTGATTCATTAGTATGTAATATCATGATTGTATATCATAAATTGACAGAGATTTCAAAAGTATCATTTCCAATTTATAAGGCTAATGCCATAAGCATTGTTTGTAGCATTTAACTATTCAATGAATAGATTGTAATTGGAATTATATCTACCTACATAACAAAACAACTCAACTCATAGCATCTTCTTCTCAAGGGCTTCGTCGAAATGGCATTCAAAATCTAGCAGAGAGCTCCCAAGCTTCAAATTGACACAAGCTTGTAGGCCAAACTCTCAAATAGATTACCAATTAAAAATTATCTAATGATAGATTAATTTAATAAATGTGCCAATTGCAGTATCCGCAGCAATCACACATAAATCTTAGTACACAAAGCCGCCCAAAATTCACTATCAATATTCAAGAGTTAACAAAGATTAAACTAAAATCGAACCCCGTGTTAGGCACAAAAAAGCAATTACTAACAATTAATCATTTAACCACTCTTCTTACCAAAAAAACAAAAAACCTCATCACTCTTTCAAATTCACTGTTTTTCTTTTGATATAAGTCATATTCATTTATGGCGGTGTTTGGCAAGTTGATTTTTGGGTTTTTTTTTTTATATATATTTTTTTCACTACAAGACAAATGTTTTACAAAACTAAAAAAAAATCAATCCAAACAAAATATCACATCAAATCCCATAATCATTTCACTTTTTCTCTCACAAACATCACATCCGACCACAAAAAAACCCAACTATCTTCCCAGACACAAAAAAAATTTCTCCAATAATATCCTACAACTAAAAAAACCTACAAAAAAATCCACTTCTCAAACACCCACTATATGAATTTAAATTTGCACTTTACATCACTAAACTGGGATGAAGTTCAGAGCTCCAACCTCTCTATTTTGGGGGTAAATCAAAGACACAAATTAAAGAAAGCAAAAAAAAAAACTTCATTGAAAAAACAAAAATTAGCTAGGGATTTGAAATGTTGAGAGGAGTAGAGAGTGGGATATATATGGAAAAAATAAAAAATAAAATAAAAATAAAAAATGGAAAAAGCTAGTGACTTTATACAACGGCATTGGGCTCGCGAAAGATTGACAGAGAACCTCAAACCACACAAACAAAACAAAACAAACAAACAAAACAAAACAAAGGCATTAGAATGTCAAGCATAAATATTTCTTTTAATCACACCCACTAATCTCTTCTTCTTTTGTAGAAGAGGTATATGTTCTCAAGCACATGTTACATATATATATATATATATATCAATATATAATAGACATTTAATATTGTCTTGATAAAAAGGAATTTCACTTGTATTCTATCCAATTAAAATATAGAAACAAGTTTGATAAAAGCATTTTTCACCTCTTGCTTTTGAGAAGATTAACTAGTTTAGGTTGATGTATATGAAAGAAAAAAAGAAGCAAGTACCTGACAGCATCTTCAAGATTGGTGGTTTCACAAACAAGAAGTGGAGCAAGTGTCATCAAATCGCCAACAACTTTTCCATGAGTTTTACTACGCAGTCTCTGAATCTTATTAAATGTCTGCAATATTGTCCAACATCAGTAATGTGTGAGTGATTTTCCGATCACACTGCCCAACTCAGTATTCAGCTGGAGAACACTAGTAGAATAGATGACACCTGGCTAACCTGCAACAGAAAAAGAAGATTCCGGCGGTGGTTCGTCCACCCGGGGGCACTCCGATGATCAAGTCAGTATATTTCTCAAAGATAATCAATAGTGCTGAACTCACTATTCAGAACATAAATTGTGTACCTTAGACCCACGGGAGTGCCTCTCTTTTATAGCTAACTCAATCCTTGTCCTAACAGGAGCCTAGCTCTAATGGACTTAGGATTACTATTAATCTTGGACTCCCAGCAGGATAGGGATAAACTCTCTAAGAGCCTTATTCTTATCCAAACTGGAGTCTTCTTCTATGCTAGGACTCTTGTCCCCTATCCGCTTATCCCAGACTCTGATATATTCGAAGATAACCTCGGCCTCGCCGAGATCATCTCGGCGTCTCAGTCAAGACACGTGGCACCTCGGCTGAAACGTCGGCGTCACCTTGCCACGTGTTGATATCCTGAAAATATATCCCCACAACTGCCCCTAGGTTCTATTACCCCGGCATTCTGAGGTGATGGAACCTATATATAGGTACTTCCTTCCAGTACGTCAGTTTACAGTATCTCAGCTGAGGTCATTATGTTGGCTGACATGTTTTCGTCAAAGAATAAGAATTTCAAGAACCCTTTCACGCGTATGAGCTATCATACATAATAATTCAACCATTTACGACATGCGTCTTTCCTATATTGGATCGTACCTGCGACACGCCTGAAAACCGTCTCGAGCCTGCGTGCGCCGTCTGACAAAACCGTCCTCCTAGGCGCATTGATGGTCTTTTTGCCGCCGTTTCCAATTTTTAATAAAATTTCTTTCCGTTTTTTGCCCTTTACTTTTCATTGTCTCTATTGCTCTCTTTCTCTAGCTTTTCTCTCCAAATCCTCCATTGTTCAAGCTCTCTTTGCTCTGCAACTTGTTCCGTTCATCCCTTCCAGCGGGTTTTTCACTGTTCCGTTGCCTTCACGACCGTCACCTGATTTCGGCGATCCTCACACCGGCTTCATTTTTTTCTGGTAAGCCACTATTCCTTCTTATTTCAGTTTCTTGATTTCTTCTTGAACTTGTCGTTATTACTACTTTGCTTAAACATTCGATCTGTGAATCATATATCTGAGTGTGCTTCTATTTCACGACCTTGCCTTTTGCCCATGTCTTAAATATACGCACTGTTCACAACATTGTCTGCACTTTGGCCACTGTTCTTGCCTTTATGCCCTTTCACACTTTGTCACAGTGTTCTTGGTAGTTCCCCCTTGTTCTTGATTCTGAAATGCATTTTTGTTTTCTATTTTTCTGTGTCTTTTCCAGATTCGTGCCTTTGATCTTTGTTTCCATAGATCTAGGTTTGGGACTTGTTTGTAGAACTCAAGACAGTTTTCTTAGGAAAAATTGAAACGATTCCCCATAGATTTTAAGCTTTAGCCAAGGTCCCTAAAACCCTTCAAAACCCCTTTCTT